TATATATATATATATACGACTCAGATTCTTGCTAATTTGGTTACATTTTGGTAGTAGTAATTTTGAATTACTTTATTCTCGTACCAACGAGATACAAATACAAAAATATATCTGGCCCCCGGACACTCAGTTTGTATAAAACTGGACGAGGTAACTTATGTCTGCCTTTTGGAAGTCGCCTATTATCTAATGAGAACTTTTTCATTTCTACTCTACAGAATGATGTTATTGTTTAGGATTATTTACCTTTCAACGCACTGACTTTTCTGTTGCCAAGAATCGAACAGTGAATCCTTTCATTAATTTTTTTGATACAGAACCCGTGCGCCATCGTTTGGCAGCATTCGTCTACCGCAAATGAATAAATAAGCTCTTCCTTAAGAATTTTGATTGTTGTTGTTATTGTTTTTGCACTAGATGGCAAAGTTAGTTGTGTAAATTTTGGAAGGCTCACCTCGAATGCAAATTTGTTGCGAAATTTTTATGAAGCTGTTGGAACTTCACTTGACGGTGTAATTGCTAAATTAAGTGAAAATGAAATCATTTGTGTGGGTAATTTCAGCAAGCAGAAAGAATAAGAAGCAATTTAGGCAAAAGAAATAAAATCGGATGGGATTAAGTAGGGCAGGGTAGGATTAGAAAGGAAGAAAATAAGGAAAAGAATAAAGGAAGTTGGAACGTGGGGGGGGCATGAGAATCAAGAATAAATTGGAAGCAAGAAACAACGCGAGAAACAGAAAAAAAAACTATGAAAAAAGGCAAGAGGAATGAAAAAAATAATAAAGGAATAGCAAAAATAAAGAAAGAAAAAGAAGAATGAATGAATGAATGAATGAATGAAATGTTCTCAGTTATGCAAGGATGAAGAAAATAAAAAATAATCAAATGGAAAAAGAAAAAGAGCATAAAAATAGAAAGGCAAATATTCTTAAAATCTCGATTGTTGATTTTATATGAATGTCTTGAATGTCATGGGTATTAATATCATAAATCGACAATATCTTACAAAGAATCTCCAAAAAATGATTTTTAAATTGTCGTTTTGACATGATTGTCCAAAGCATAAACTCTGAAATTAAATATACTTCTCAATAAAACGAGAAAACTTCATTAAATAGATAGACATATGTAATGTATGTGTGTAATGTATGTAATGTAGATAGATAGATAGATAGATAGATAGATAGATAGATAGATAGATAGATAGATAGATAGATAGATATGTACAATTTTGTGCAGCCTCCCACCCCACACACAAACACACACATATATGCAAAAAGAGCAAGAAAAAAAAGAAATGAAATAAAATTACTATAAGAAAGAAAGAAAGAAAGAAAGAAAGAAAGAAAGAAAGAAAAAGAAATTGTTGGGAAAATTATTCAGTATACTCTATGTGAAATAATGTTCGTTGATAAAAAATGTTCATTGATTAAAATTTTAAGCTTCTCATTAAAGCTTTTTTTTTTCGTACAAAATTTTCTCAAATCGTAAAGGAAATGTTTTCAAATATTGATGAGTCCTTTATTGTTGTATGCTGGGTACGAAATAATAATAACTCCCTTTACCCACTGCCTTCAAATTCAGGTGAGCTCAGGAAAAAAAAAACGTAAAAAATTCGTGAGCCTATGTGAAATTTTCTTTGGATCAATTAAAACCTTGTTTCACGTTGAGCCAAGAAAAGAAAAGGAAAATAGCGTCCCTATGCGAAATCCTTTCTTATATAACATGGAGAGAAAATTTAAATTAATAAGAAAACATTTTGTTTCTGTCCACGCATCTAGCATTCAGATTTTCTCCAGTGTCAAATTACTCGCCAATATATTACTGGCCTTAACTAAGAACTTGGCACTTCAAAGAACTTCATTTCAACAATCCAAAAAAGCTAAGCATTTGTAACCATTTCTCTTCGTCTACATTTGAATTTATGCAACCGTATAACCCTTCTGTGAGTAGCGAACTATCTTACCTTTGTTTTAATCATTTTTAATACTATTTTATAGTAGATTTTTTAATCTATTTTCTGAACATTCCCTCCTCTTCGTGACAATTCATTGAAACTACGGACCTTCAAAATTTCTGATTTATTTTCCTAAGACGAGCTACTGACGTTACTTCAAGTGTGTAAATTTGTAAGTAAATTCCCTATCTTGTTTTGTTAAAATTACCTGTGTTTATTCTCGTCATTATATGCCTCCATTAACATTTTCGGCGTGGATCAACACTATAGTTGCGTGGGTACTTTAGGAAAAAAAAAACAATGAAGACGTATGTTAAACTTATTCTGAATGTGGATTTATTTTGCCCACTTATCAATTGTCCAGAATTCCAGAATTGTCTTTTATAAGTCTGAAGATACAAGTGTTGACTTTCGAAACTTCATTTCTCTTCACCACACACATAAGACGGATATTGAAGTCACAACACGAAAGAAAAGAACAACAAAATTAATACCCATCGCTTTCGAAAATTTATCTAACTTTTAAATTCCTCTTCTCCTCCTACGCTAATTATTCCAACCGACTTTGGTTGTGAATGACAAAGTCTGTCCTTTTTGCGAGCTCACCGTCGCACACAATACCTTTTCTATTTGCCTTCGCTTCTAATTTCATATTTTTTCATAGTTCTATTTTTTGGAACTCACCCATTTGTGATAGAATTGCTGCTATGGGACAAAGAATCCCTCAGATCACCCTGACTGAGATCATTGATAACCAATTTATCTAGTTCATCAGAAATTATAAACAGTGAGATCCATTCTCCTCCATCTTGCTAATCCCCAACACGAAGAAAAAAGCTCAATAGATTTCAAGATATTCCTGTTGGATCACTACGGAATTTCAAACTGTATTACCTCATGTGCTTGAGGGTAGCGTGCAAACGGATGGCGGGAAAATATAATCTAAGAACCATACAAGACATGAACATTAAAAAAAAGCAAAAACAAAGGATATCATTTCGCTTAAACTATTTGCAGCAAATCTTGAAAATATCTTCCAGAAAAATATAATGGGAGTAAATATTAGGGGAAAAATATTTAAATCATCTGATTTAAATTTGCTGATAAATTATAAGCAATGTTAAATGGTCAAAATAAGCAAAGTGTCAATGTCCGTTTCAAAGTGGACAGAATTTTTTTTTTGAACTTAAACTTTAGTTTTAACATTACTGAAAAATCATAAAAATACATCAATAAGTTTTTTTTTCCTTTACAATAATGTTCCCACTTTACAATTCCCAAGTGTCACTGAAGTTAGAATGTTACAGGGTAAGAGGTAGAGTTTATGGGGATATGTGGGGAAGATAACGGTTGACCCTAGATTGAACAGATTAAGATTGTAGTAATCGGTGAAGCATCTTCTTGGCAGTTGGTTCCACAAAGCAGACGTGGGTGGGAAGAATGGACAAATCCTGCCTATATATGGTAGCAGTAATCCATTTTCGTTTCGAGCAGGCTCTTGTAAGAAAATCCACTATTACATATACTTAGAATAGCTGATAGCATTGCAGATATAATAAAAAGAACTCTGGCAATATGCTTAAAATATAAAGTTTATTATGACTGATTATTACCACCCAACACATATAGGCGTGAGGCATTAACGGAATCATTTGAAAACCAATTCAGAAATGTACAATGTTTAATAGAAATAACTAAGATAAGGATAACCCTGTGAGAGAAAAAGTGGATAAAATGGATCCGAAAGAGATATTGAGCCTAAATGAGGCTAACATAAAGCCAGAAGTAATAAAATAACAAAAATGGAAGTGTATAGTTCACATAGAAGAAGAAAAGATAACAGGTGGATCAAAAGGTTGCTTCATTATGGTCAAATGATTAGCAGCTGTATGGAGATTTAAAATAAGTAACGGATGGAGAGAAGCAGATTAGTTTATTAGTACGACAAGGAAGAATGTTGCAAAGTCGTCATGGAAAGATTAAGGTAAGGATTATGCCCTCGCAATGGACAATTATTGTCTGATGTTGCTATTGCATATATGATCATGTGTTTATGTATTTAAGCCAACAAATATCTCAAACGATTAAGAGATTTATAAGAGATAAAACGTTAACGGTTAGAAAAACCATGACAGATAAATTGCTAGTGGTTAACAATTGATATAGCAGTTAATGGTGAAAGAATGGAAAGAGATAAATCAAAACGAATTAATTCTTCACAGATTCGCTTTTGCTAATATGAAACAAATAATGGTCAAACCCTTTAATATTTAATATCTGTGCGATATAATCCAAAAGATTTATCGACAGAATGACGCATATATATATATATGTGTGTGTGTGTGTGTGTGTGTGTGTGTGTGTGTGTGTGTGTGTGTGTGTGTATGCGTGTGTGTATGCGTGTTTTATAAAGTGGATTAAATCCGACCTATTTTTTAGTTTATTTGTTCAAACGTTATTTTTTCAAATATGAGTGTCCATTAAATAATAAACAAATAAATTTAAAAATATATCTGTGTGCGTGTGTTTGTGTGTGTAATGTATGTGTGTAGTGTATGTAATGTAGATAGATAGATAGATAGATAGATAGATAGATAGATGGCATATTGAGGTGAAACTGTAAAATAATCTTCTATTGCGAATTCGAGACACACATGTCTTCCCGTTTTGAGAGGATTGGCCAAACATAACCTTTAAGCAAATCGCTCCACTTTTTTTTTCGCCTGTTGCCGTAATGACGACATTTTACAACGAAAACTTTTCATACACTTGATAAAATTTAAAATAATAATATTTGAAAGTTTAATTTGAAAACAAACTTGTAGAATTCGCCTTGGCCATTCATTGTTAACGGAAACTACGAACGTATTGTGGAATGAATTATTTTTAAAGTTTATAAATATTTCCATTAACATATTCTAGTCACTAAATGTTTCCCACTAAAATTACTTTAATAAGAAAGAAATTGGTGAAATTTATTTTTAGAAAAATCCATTTTATCCACCGATATTAGAATTATTCTGCACATTTCTTATAATTAACAATGTTTGTGATTTCGTTACTCCTATTTGCGATTTATTTATTAACCTCTTTTGTTTTGTTTTTATTTATTTTTTCATTACCACCCATTCTTCTTCGTCTTCTTCTTCTTCCTTTTCTTCCTCCTACTTTTCTTCTTCCTCCTAGTTTTTTTCTTCGTTTTCATCGTTTTCTTCTTCTTCTTCTTCTTCTTCTTCTTCTTCTTCTTCTTCTTTTTCGTTCTCTTCTTTCTCTTCTTCGTTTTCTTCTTCTTTTTCTTCCTTTTCTTCTTCTTCCTCTTCTTCCTCATTTTCTTCTTCTTCTTTTTCTTCGTTTTCTTCTTCTTCCTTTTCAACTTATTCCTCGTTTTCTTCTTCTTCGTTTTCTTAATTTTCTTTTGCTTCTTCTTCCTCTTCTTCTTCTTCTTCCTCCTCGTTTTCTTTTTCTTCTTCTTCTTCTTCCTCTTCTTCGTTTTCTTCTTTTTCTTCGTTTTCTTCTTTGTTTTCTTCTTCCTAGTTTTCTTTTTCGTTTTCTTCTTCGTTTTCTTCTTTTTATTCTTCTTCTTCGTTTTCTCCTTCTTCTTCTGTCATTGCACCTGTTGTATAAAGTCGACAACCGTCCACTCATTCTTCTACCTTTATATTTCTTCAAGTATCTTGTTAGTTTTTTCTTTAACTCGTGAATCTGAAACAAATACTTTATTTTTTTTCTAATCTACAGCGACAAGTATGAGGTTTGTTTAATTTTCCGCATCCTTGACATATTTGTAACTGATGATAATTAATTGGGTTTCGTTTAAATTGATTATTATCTCCATGCCAGATAAACAGTTCTTATGAACAATAATAATAAATATGTCAAATGATGAATGTAATTGTTTCACTTCATCATATATTGAAAGAAATACGGTTAAAAAATGTAGAAATAACAAGACCATTACTATGAAGATGAATATAAGCGCTAGTATTCTTAGAATCATTATTAGAACACTGCATTCCAAATTCTCTGCAATAAAATGATAATGGCATAACCCCAAAACAAAACAATTAACGCCGTGCTCATGACAACAAAGGCGCTCATAATTGGATTCCAATTTGTTCAATCTCTCAACGGAGAAAATGCTTATTTATATTAACTCAAGAAAAGGAAACTCACTCAAACTATGGCGCTCTAGCAAAAGGCGTTGAATTTAAAGAAAATATATTAAATTATTTTTGAGAAATGAAAACTGCGAAATATGAAATTCATTTTAAAACTAAGAAGTTGCAGCAAAATTGACAAAAGAAACAAAATTGCATAAAAATGAAGATAAACAAAATAAACCTAGTTACTTAGAGGAAAAAAGAAAATAAAGAATACTTTTTAATAAGAGCTGAGTTTTAGATTATAAGACTAAAACATAGAAAGGCAATATAAGGAAAAAAATAACTTTAGTATCGTCAGTGTCACCTGCACGACGTTATATGAAGCGAATACTGTCATTACGTTCAGGGGACAAAATAATACATGACTGCGTGATCCAATTTGAATGGTGCACACGGCTGTTAAAATAAAATTAAGTGGGACTATTGACAAAAATTCTTGGTCTTCAGTCAAAGACGTTAAATTAGACTTGAGTGAAACCTACACAAGTATATATTTCAAAATACGGAATTTGACAGGCGAATATACGAGAGTATCTGAAGTAAGAAACAGATTCTTTCTTAAAGAATAATTCTGTAAGACCATATTATAAAATCAGCAAGTCATGACCCTGAACAAATAGAAAATGTATTCTTTGCGGAGACTGAAATCAAACTCTGAAGCATACGATAAACAAATACAGAAAGTTAGTTGACACGGTGGAAAAGTTAAATCCAAAGAGAATGGAAATAGGCGTGCAACAAACAGAAACTGTTACACTTATTAAATAATTAGTATTTTTTCGTATTTTAAAACCTTAAGCGGAACCATTCCATTCAGTTTTAACATAATGTCTGTATATCATAAACAATGAGAACAACACATGATGGATTGTTGATGTTGTTGCCATGGCAGAACACAGTGAAAATGAAGGAAAGTGTAAGCCAGTTAACACATTTGTCTATTACCAAAGAAATGAAAAAAACTATGTAAAATAAGAGTTGGAATCATTTTGTAGTCACCCAGAGGAATAGTTTGGAAGATCCGTTAATGAACTGAAACTGAAACATTAATTAATCAGTCTATTGAGAAGAGTTATTAAGAAACAATACTGTCAATTGATCCCGTTCGTAGCAACAATCGCTTAAAATGCAATTTGAATAAATTCATGTGTGTGTGTGTGCGTGAGTGTGTAGCTATATAGATGAATCAAAATAATTGTCCTTTGTTATCGTAAAGTGTTAAATAAATTTCATGCATTCGGCAGTCATCAGGCGTATGTAACGATATATGATTAGGTATTAATATTTTATTGTTTTAAGACAGAAGCTAGCACTGTTCTTTTTCATTTAATTCTGTATTTGTTATGTTTTTCACATTCATATATATATATATATATATATATATATATATATATATATATATATATATATATGCGTGTGAGGTCTATTTCAGCAGTACTAATTATTTGAAACATGTTTAATTAAATAATATGGACAGCGTCTGTCTATGATCTTTTTTATTTAATTTTCAAATTTCTAAGTTAGGTGGGTTGTGTTATCGGTAAATTTGCCGTAGTTTATTTCTTTTATTTATTTTTTTATTTTAGATTCTTTTCTTCCCAAATTCTTTCGAATATTTCTATGTATTAAAAATAGTGATAGATATTGCCTCCTCGTATGTATGGAGGAAAAATTAGTTATAGCTTCTTATAATAACCCTAATGAATTATTCAGCCAGAGATCTGAAATACTTAATGGCTGCAGGCATAAAAAAAGCCTTAATACTTAGCAATTAGAATGTTTTTTACGCTATTTTTTATTCATTCTAGTGGCTGCTTTATTAATAAAATGTCATTTGAATCAATCCTCTTTTGTCAAAATTATTCTGATAATCCGGTAAGTGAAACATAAGTAGATAGGTAGATGGGTCTTTAGGCATATATATATATATATATATATATATATATATATATATATATATATATATATGTGTGTGTGTGTGTGTGTGTGTAAATAGTTGCTTTTATGTGTATGTGTGTTTGCAAGATGTCATTTTAAGCATGAGTATATATTCGTGTCAGTTGATATAACGATAATTTTTTTATTGTTTTCTCGCCCTTCTCCCAAATGGATTTTACCCCAATGTAAATAATATAGACATGTGACAGATGTCACAAAGCTGTCTCAGATGTCACAGTATAAATAGTGAAATCGACTCGGAACAACTGCTGAGATTTTTCAAATCAAATATTTGCCGAAGACAACAGGCAAATAAATCAAGTAATCGGGTTGTCCAGAATATTAAACAAATTCAAAATTCTTTCAACTTCTTTATTAAGTAAAATTTTAAAAGGCAACACGAGAATTTGAAAAAAAGAACAAGGTTAAATCTTAATTTTAAAATGACTGAAGTTGCTTTTACTTTAAATCGATCGGTTTAGCGTTACAAATTCGTTTCCTATAATTAGATTAAGTAACGGAAATCATGATCTTTATGTACTGGTAAAGTGAATATTGATGTCAACCATTTCCGGAATATGTATGCTGTGCTGAAATGTTGTCGACCCGACCAAGTAAGGAATGACTTAGAACCATGAAAAATAAATGCCATTTAACATAATCATTCTGTAGTTCAGCACATTGGTACAGTTTTTCTCAAGTTTCTTTAAATAAATAATTTTTGGTCAACGACATACTGGCCTGCTATCTTCTCAGAATCATTTGCGAATTTCCTCTCTTTCAAACATATTTGAAGGTTTTAAAAACAGGAAATAGTCAGATGGAGTTAATAGGGTGGATGTCATCTATTCCCATCAAAGAAGCCAGATATCGCCATGGTTGCCTGGTGATCAGGTGCATTTCCCTACAAAATGTAAGCAAATTCCAGCAGCTTCCGTTGCCAATTACCTTTTAATATCTTCTTTAATCGGTATAACATTGGATGGAGTTGTACTCGGAATTAACACTTTGAAAATTCTGAGGATTTTCTTTTACGAAGTATTTTTCTTATTTTAAAATCCCTCGCCATGGCATTTCCCGCTAACACATGTCTATTGAATTTCTTCCACTGGGGAAAATCTTGAATGCTGCTATTACAACTCATTTCATTTGGTCTCCCATTCATTTTGATGTAAAAACATATGCCAACAACAATGACAAATTCTTCCAAACAGTTACCACTAGATCTCTAAACATGTTGCACATTCAACGGAGAAATAAGTAGACGAGATCTTGTAGATATTGTTTTGGTCTTTGCTAGTTACTGTATAGTCAAATGCTAAGAATTTGAACCTAATCTCATTTCTATACTTGGCCAGCTTAAGAGATTTTTGTGACCTTTTCTTAAAGTAAGTGTTATGGTGAAACACACCTATTCTATAAGTTAATAGACTCTCCCACCTAATAGGAGTAATAAGAGAAACGACAGTCAGTCGATGTCGGACGACAGTTAGTCGAATACGAAAGTAGTCAGCGACCACAACAAGATTACTCTGCGTAAGACGTATTATATCAAGTTCCTAACGTTTTGTACGTCGAACTATTTAGGACCGATTTAGTACAAATACAAGCCTCCACTGCGAAATAAGTATACAACAACTTTGGCGACGAGGGATTCGTACTCATACGGGGGAAGAAAAATTCGCTCACCACAAGAACGTTGGCGTCGAGGATTTCCACTCATACGGAGGAAGAAAAAATTCGCTCGCCACAATAACTTCGGCGACGAGGATTCCCACTCATACGGAGGAAGAAGAAATGCACTTGCCACAGTAACTTCGGCAACAAAGTCTCGGATTCACACTTTAAAAAAAAACTTGGCAAAGTTTGTAGCAAGCCAAGACGTCAACTTAGTGACGAAAAAATCTGTCGTATTCTCAACTGAGAAAAGAATGTTTTTTTCTCGATAATACAGTTTGCTTAAATAGGTCACGAATTGCAATTTCGTAGGATCCGCCCCCTCTACAGTATTTAGGCATTGTGTAAACTTTTTGCGAAGATGGAAGAATGCAAAAATACATTCCGGGAATACTTTAAGTTCCAGTCGGAAAAACAGATGACAATATTAGAGCAACAAAAAAAAACATTCCAGATGCAGCTACAGGAGGAAACTTTCAATAGACAAATGCAATTCCAAGAAAAAATGGAACAGATGTATAGGGACTTTCAAAATAAAATTCTGGAAATAACTTAGAAGAGGAAAGAGAAAAATCTACAAAATGATTCTTTCCCAAAGAATACAATATGGAATTCAATTGAAATATTCACGTACTGTCCAGATGAAAAGATAACTTTTGAGGAGTATTATAAAAAATATACGGACGTGTATAACGAGGACTGCCACTCGTGGTCTGAAGGAAAGAAGGTTAGGCTTCTTTTAAGCAAATTAGGAACTGCTGAGCATAACAAATTGGTAAACTACATTTTAACGAAAAAACTAGCGAGTTGACATTTACCGAGGTGGTAAATATATTAAGTGAATTATTTAGTAAAAAGACATCTCTGTTTCACAACAGGTGGAAATGTTTGAATCTGGTGAAAGATGACAACAAGACTATAT